TTGAGTGTAGATAATATTAAATAAATGACCTGTCTAATTAAACATGACAATCGAAAAATTGAAGAGTAATACTTTTAGAAATATTTTAAGCATTCATCAACTATCAACAAAATGAAATACAATTCTTTATAAAGAAATATCTTTAAACTCTTTATAAATATTCTATTCATCCTATATGGAATTTTATAACCTCTAAATTTTTTTTTTTTTGCTTGTCAATCTCGTCAACTTAATTAGTAATCATTAAACACAATTCTTATCACAATTGCAACACCAGCAATAACTATAACAACAAGCAAATATGAGTAATATGAACCAGCATGGACTTTAAAAGCCTAACGTTCAGATGCTTGAAAAGTGAGATCCGTTAGTACTACGAGTATTTCCTAATTCACATTTTAAATGCGTCATTTAGTTTACAAGTCATCATGAATATATACAAATATGCGATCAGATATGCGATAAGCTCGTATATGAAAGCTAGTTCTATACACCCATATCTTTGGTAGCTCCAATACCTGAAGTTTTAGTTGCGGTTCTCATTGTTACTGTAGTTTCTAGAGATTGCAAAGAACATCAAAATAATAACAAGAGGATTACTTAAGTTAGCATAAGTGTTGTTTAAGATAAGGGAGGAAAGAAGGGGTGTGTGAGATGAAGGAGAGGGAGATGTAGGAAGATGCTAATTGAAACTAGCTTGGTTAGATATAAAGAAACATACCTACCACCTCAATGGTGGTATCCTCAGAGTCTTAGATCCAAGTAAGTGTATGCATTAAGATATAAACACAGATGGGCAAATTTATGAGGAGTGTAGCTACAGTTAGAGCATACAATGTTAATGCACAGTTTTGTATATGACAAGCAAATGTTTAGTGTTCGACTATATAGTGATCTAAATTCCTAATGTACAGGAAATCAGTATTATTATTAACTTTGCAATATTACGTAAAATTTGTAAACATTGCCTCGATTAATTTAAGTTTTTAAGTTCTTTTGCGTGTAAGTTCACATAGTTTCGACGTGACGGCCTCATTAAAAACAATCGTAATTATTTTGATTGTTTATTATAAATAATGAACACTCACTATCGTAGCGCTTTCTTCAAAAATAAGCTAAAATGAGTAAACAAATACAGATGTGTAAACAATTCTACACTCAAATTACCTTTTAATAATTATTATTATTACTATTATATTATTTTTTTAAGATCATCATAAGTTTGTTTCTGTAATAAGCAATTCTTATTTTTATACTTGACGACGCATTTTCAATTTACATAAATACAGGAAATTATTGCAAGTGCCAATTTATGGTATGTTCATCTTACTCACTTATAGATAACATAGAGAAAATAAAAAATTTAAATAAAAATTTTATTCAACCTTCAACGAAATTTATCTCAATAGGTGCGAATAATCTAACAGTTACGGGGTGTAAGAAACTGACATTATTTTTTATCATATCATTATCTAAAGTTATCATAAGTTTATCTAAAATGTAGTCATGTGACGTCAAAATTGACTCACAGTTATTTTATTATCTAACAGATCAAGTTAAATAAAAACTCAAGATACTTTTTGAATCACTCACTGTAATGCTTAATGAAAATTATAATCTTAATTAATATACAAATTATAGCTTATTTAAAACAAATCTTATTAAAATACTTGAATGACAAATTAAACTCTGCATTCCCACACCTCTTATGCGATTAAAGTTTTATAGGAGAAGGTTCGTTAAGTGAAAATCATATTCATTATAATTGGATTAATCAGCATTTATTTTTAATCGATAGATACATTGTTCCAAGTAGAAGCTTTACCGATTCTTAGTCAGTTTTTGAGCATAACATAGATACATGCCGCTCACTTTATCTAATGTAAACAAAGCACACATTTTATAAATCTGCTGATTTGTAATAACAAAATTGTATGACGACAATATCGTTAATTATACTTGAGAGCAATTATTTGTATCTAAATAATGACTCCGAATTAGGGTTTCATGGCGAATCGTTCAGATTTTACGGAAATACTATTATTGAGATATAAAATGTTGAAATAAAGTTTTAGTCATATAGTGATTTTAAATATAATTTGAAAACAGTTTTCAAAATAGATTTTTTCTAAAATTATTTATTTATATTTTAATGTTTTTAATATCGTATTCAAAAGTAATCTAAATATAAAGAACTCAAAGGTGGTGCTGTGGAATTGATTTTTATCGATGAAATATTTAATAGATAACATACTTCAAATATTTTCTTTCTGACCAGCTATTTTGTTTATCATCATATTGAATTAATAAAAAACACTTATAACAAATTATCAAATATTAAATACCATCAATTCTTAATATCTATATAATGTGATAAGCTCATTATAGTAATAATTGTACAGTGTTCCACAAATCTTAACGTTGTTTCTGGAGAGCATTTTTGAATTTCTGAATATAAATTTAAGGCCACAACCAATATTTTGAATTTATTGATATATTTATATATTATATATTTCAGATAATTATCTTATTGATAATTATTAAAATGGTAACCCATTTTAATTACATGCTTAATTTATATCTTTCTAACTATCTAGTTGTCTAGTTAGTTTGTTGAATATAAATAGTACAACTGTTTTGTACCTTTTTTTTTTTGTTTTTTTTTTTCTTTTTCTTCATTTCTTCTGTTCAAAATTTCTTTTACTTCATTTATCATGTTGTATTGGTTGCATTTCCTTTTATCTAGTATTTTTTGTTTTGAAACTGCTTTTCTTTCTTCTCTTGTATATGGATTTTTCTTATCTCTGTGCTTTCTTCCTATATATTTTTATTTTTCTTTCCCCTTCTCTAAACGCTTCTCACTCCCTTAAGAAGCTATCTCTTTACTCTTCCCTTTATGTCTTTTCCTTTTACAAACTCTTTTCTTCTTTTTTGTTTTGAAACTGCTTTTCTTTCTTCTCTTGTATATGGATTTTTCTTATCTCTGTGCTTTCTTCCTATATATTTTTATTTTTCTTTCCCCTTCTCGTTTATTCACTCCCTTAAGCTATCTCTTTACTCTACCCTTTATGTCTTTTCCTTTTACAAACTCTTTTATTCCTTCTTATTTGTTTGTGATTGTCACTAAATATTTTTTAATTAAACACAGACATTTTTTGATGCTTTTAACTTTATTTCAAATGAAATTATTGTTTCTACACAGTTTATCTCTCTTTATTTTTCTTTCTCTGTCTTTCACTCTCTCTCTCTCTCTCTCTCCACAATCTTTATTTCTCTTTCTCTCTCTGTATTTTTCTATCTCATTCTTTCTCTCTCTCTCTTTATTTTTCTATCTCATTCTTTCTCTCTCTCTCTCTTTATTTATCTATCTCATTCTTTCTCTCTCTCTCTCTCTTTATTTATCTATCTCATTCTTTCTCTCTCTCTCTCTCTTTATTTATCTCTCCCTCTTTTTTATCTTTCTCTCTCTCTTTATTTCTCTCTCTCTCTCTCTCTATGAAGCACATGTTCTCTTTTTCTCTTTCTCTTCTTTTCCATAATTTACTTTCTATTTATAGAAAAATATAGGCAAGAAATATAATAAGTGAAAGTAAAATGATTTAAATTGGTAAGTCTGCTTAACTCTTGCAGTATTAAGAATGTGAGCAAAGAATACCAACGTCTGAATTTTCAAAAGATTTGGACCAATAGTACTTCTGAAAATTGCTGACATAGCTAGGCAGATAATCGTATCTTCCTACCTAACTGAAACTCCTTCTATGTTTCGGCGCGGTGATTATATTCAAGGCCTTAAGCTTCTCATAGTTAAAGAGAACTGTGACCGATGATAACAATTATAATTTCTAGTTATTTAATATATTTTACTTAGAATTCTTTGTAATCTCTGCTTCATATCGGTATTTACAAAATTCCCGTGCAATCATTTACCTGTTATTCGCCTACGCCTCTGATACCATATAAGCAAATTGAGTTTCGTGTTATTTATTGCAACGTGTATAACATCTCAGTTGTTGTGCTTGTTTTTGTCTATTCAGTTTAAATTGGTTTGATTAGAAGTTTATTTATGTGATATTAGATAAATGTCGTTTCAAATAAAATATATCAAATAATCATTTGCAATATAAGTTAGTGTACTTTTGTAATTTTTTTGCTGTAAATAGTACAAAATTAAAATTTTAAATTTAAATATTCCGTTGACACTTAAATTAATTTTAAAGTAAAAATAAATAAATAATAACAAAAAACATCAACAATAATATCTACTAATAAATCAGGTTTTATAGCGCCGTAGACCATAATATAATTAACGAGTGTCCAATAATAGAGTTATAAATAAAAGACACAGTGTTGAAGTTTTAAATGGAGAGCCGTGGTTCAAAATGATATTTGGCATTTTTTAATTAAATCCGGAAATGTCAGTTATCGCAAGGATATAAAACTATTAATTTAATTTATAAGTTATATATATGCTTTTTCCAGTATAGCTACAGGTAAACTTTATTCAATTCTACTACTACTCCTTATAATGAACCTAAACAAAACCAATCTCATTCATAAAATTTAAGTTTGAAATGTGCATATATAGCTCTTCTTGAGATATAGATTTTTAATTGATTCCATTTTCTTATGGCGTCATTTTATTTTTCGAAATTATATCAAAAGTGATTGTTCTACTCTTTTATTTTTTTCAAGGTTATTGTGTTTAAATCTATAAATTATTCATTATTCATTATTTTTATCTTTACATATACAATACATTATTGTTTATTATGCGTCCCAATCAATCAATTTTTTTTTCATCAACTTTGTGAAACAAGTTACAGTTTCAAATGACATTAAGTTAGGATTTCTTATTCGGATTTATCTTTTTTAAGTTCTTATTACATCAGACATTTCTCCAGTTAGTAACCATTCTAAAGCCTATTTTATACTGCTTATAAGAGTTTTATTATAACTTATTATAAATAATTAAAATAATAAAATTTTTCCCTTTATTGCAGATTTTAAATATCCATCATGACATCGTATAGCACTACGAATTATCCTAAAAATTACCATGCCAGTGGCATTGGTCTTGTTAATTTAGCAGCTTTGGGTTATAACAGCAATGAACAACAAGATAGTAAACCTGCTACTGGCTTATATCCAGCGTTACCGTATCCAACAGCACCATTAGCAAGTTATTCTTACTCACCAAATGCTCCGGCTCCACCATTACCGAATGCACCATATCCATCAGCGATGCCTTATCCATCAGCAACACCATATCCATCTGCATCACCATATCCAGCTGCTTCACCATATCCATCAGCCACACCTTATCCAGCTTATGGTGGTGGTATGCCACAGCCTGGTGGTTATGGTGGTGCGCCTGCACTACCATATCCTTCAGGTGCATATGCCGGTATGCCTTCACCATACGGTGCAGCTCCACAAAAAGCTTATAATAATATCTATCCGACATTACCGACAATGCCAACTTTACCTCAAACACCTGGAGTAAATGTGCCCTCGACTGCAGAGGAACCTTCGGTTGGTGTACCAGAAATACCATTTTCTTCTGTCAAAGTGCCAGAAAATGAAAATATGTTTTGGTTAGGCAGAAAAGCAACGGTACAGCGCCAACATTCTGTGCATCAAGATTTTGAAAGTATACGCAATGATTGCCTCTCAAATGGCACACTGTTTGAAGATCCAGTATTTCCTGCAACTAATGAATCACTTATGTTTTCACGCCGACCAGATCGTTATGTGGAGTGGTTGCGCCCCTCTGACATTGTGGATGATCCACAATTCTTTGTAGAAGGTTATTCTCGCTTCGATGTACAGCAAGGTGAATTGGGCGATTGTTGGTTGTTGGCTGCTGCAGCTAATTTAACTCAAGATTCAAACCTATTCTTCCGTGTCGTACCGCCGGACAACAGTTTTGAAGATAATTATGCTGGTATATTTCATTTTAGTTTCTGGCAATATGGTAAATGGATTGACGTTGTTATCGATGACAGATTGCCAACTTATCGCGGCGAACTACTTTATATGCATTCTACTGAGAAAAATGAATTTTGGAGTGCTTTATTAGAAAAAGCTTACGCCAAATTGCATGGTTCATATGAAGCATTAAAAGGTGGTACTACATGTGAAGCTATGGAAGATTTTACTGGTGGCGTTACGGAATGGTATGATCTTAAAGAAGCACCACCAAATCTATTTAATATTTTGGAAAAAGCAGCTGAACGTGGTTCCATGATGGGTTGTTCTTTAGAACCTGATCCAAATGTATTTGAAGCGGAAACACGCGAAGGATTGATACGTGGTCATGCTTATTCTATAACAAAAGTGTGTTTGATTGATATTAGAACACCAAATCGTAATGGCAAAATACCAATGGTGCGTATGCGAAATCCATGGGGTAACGAAGCTGAATGGAACGGGCCATGGAGTGATGAATCTCCCGAATGGCGTTATATACCTGATGAACAGAAAGAGGAAATCGGTTTAAATTTCGATAAAGATGGTGAATTCTGGATGTCATTCCAAGACTTTTTAAATCACTTTGATCGTGTTGAAATTTGTAACTTATCACCTGATTCACTTACTGAGGATCAGCAGCAAAGTAACAAACGTAAATGGGAAATGTCTATGTTTGAAGGTGAATGGACACCGGGTGCAACTGCTGGTGGTTGTCGTAACTTTTTGGAGACATTCTGGCATAATCCACAGTATATCATAGAACTCGTCGATCCCGATGAGGATGATAACGATGGCAAATGTACTGTTATTGTAGCCCTGATGCAGAAAAATCGTCGTTCCAAACGAAACAAAGGTTTAGAATGCTTAACAATTGGATTTGCAATTTACCACTTAACAGATCGTGACTTAGAATCACGTCCACAAGGTATCACGTTCTTCAAATATCGTGCATCAGTGGCACGTTCACCACATTTTATTAATACACGTGAAGTTTGTGCACGTTTTAAACTGCCACCAGGCCACTATTTAATTGTACCTTCAACTTTTGATCCAAACGAAGAAGGTGAATTCATAATTCGAGTATTCTCTGAGGCTGCAAGCAACATGGTTGAAAATGACGACAGCGTGGGCTATGGCGAAGTTGATGATAGAGTCGCACCTAGTGCACCTGAACCAGATCATGAAGATCCACAACGTGAGAAGTTACGTAAATTATTTGAAAGTATTGCTGGTGATGATGACGAAGTTGATTGGATGGAATTAAAACGTATTTTGGATCACTCGCTGAGAGATGTTATGATGGATAGTAGTGGTTTCTCTAAAGATATATGCCGTTCAATGGTTGCAATGATGGATAAATCACAATCAGGCAAATTAAGCTTTGATGAATTTGAAGCCTTACTGACAGATATAGCTAAATGGAAAGCCGTCTTTAAATTATATGATTACCAACATACTGGCGCTATTGAAGGTTTCCATTTGCGCACAGCACTCAAGTCAGCAGGTTACCATCTAAACAATCGTATATTAAACGCACTGGCACATCGATATGGGTCAGAAGAGGGTAAAATAACATTTGATGATTTCCTTATGTGTGCAATTAAAGTTAAAACGTATATTGAAATATTCAAAGAGAGAAATGGAGGGGACACTGGTTCGGCAGCATTTAGCATGGATGATTGGTTAGACAAAACGATAATCTCATAAAGGAAAACGTAGTAGTTATTATAGATTACTTTTTTAAATATAAATTTTTAATATAACGTTGATGCTTAAATTTTTTTATATAATAAATTATTATATTTAATTAATTTTGTTAAAAATATATGTGCCTAAAAACAATGAACAAATTTTAATAAAATATTAAAATAATTTATATAAAATTATACAATTATACAATGCAATAGCAAGTAAATGAAAAGTATATTATACTGAGCCCTACGGTGCTGTAAAACGAATTGTAAAGAACCCCAAAATGGAAGCAAAGAAACTTCCTTTAACTAACCTATACCAATACCAATGTATTAAGGAAGTGCAAGAGCATCGTCTTCCAATGAATAGAACTCGAATGCACAGCCAATCTAAAAATATTATTCAAAATTAATCCCCTTTGAGTGTTATTGACATTTAGATTTAAGTCCACAAAAATAATTTTATTTGTTATTTGCACAAAATCGGTCATTGTTTTGGTATTCTTGATATCAAAATACTCGTTTAATTACCTAATAAATTGTATATTAATTATTTTGTGTTGTGAACTATTATTATATATGAATATCTATATATGTACTTCATTACTTAAAAAGTCATTTAAAAAAAATTGTATTTTATATTCTAAATTTTTTTATTTAATTTTAATACATATTTTAAATGTAAAACAAATATTTTTTTGTGCATTTGTCAATACTAACAGATTTTTAAATAAATCAAAAAAAAATAAAAATAAAATGAATTCTATTTAGTTTTTTATAAAAAGAAAGCTGGAAGTATTTTTGCAGTTGTATTTAAAGATGATCCACTTGGAGAATATAAAAACGCAGCTCCAACGACGTCCACAGTTCTCTATATCAACTCAACTTTTGCGGTTGGCTGAAAACCATAAATCGTCACTCTTTCTGGCCGTCATTTGCATGAAACCTCTTTGATCTTAATTTCAATATTACACAAAGCTTAGGAACATTATCAGAGACATTTTGCATTGCTGTTAGAACTTTAACCATGATTTTTAATTCACTGATTGTGGAGAACCTTTAGTCAACGAATGATAATAGTTACCAAAACTAATAACTTCCTCATTTTTCTTTTTAAAATAATTAAATAAAATAGTTAAAAACTTTCTTCTTCTTCTTATTTGACACTACATTCCAGTGTGAACCTTGGCTTTCTTTAGAGGGTTGCGTATCGGTTGTTTTTATCCGATGCGAGACTGCTAACCTTGCGATTAACCCTCAACCTGGAGGACCAGATCCCCTTATTTGCAAAACTGGAGATAAGATTGGTGTTTGGTAGCTAGAGAATTTACCCTCTGATAGGTGTTTTTAGGTTATACCGCCTGTGCTCGGTCACCAGAGCCTCGTATGTGAGAATAGGATGCACCACGTGTAGGTGAGGTTGGCTGTTGAGGAGGCTAAGCTGTATATTCGCATCACTCTCCCATTGGGACAAACAGTTCTGTCCCTTGCATGCCTAGTTAAAAACTTTATAGAAACAAATTTGAGTCTATCTGTAAAGATATATATATGTATTTATTTTAAAGGCGACCCATTAGTTAACAAAAAAAATATTAATTAAAATATTAATTATTAAATAGTAAATATTAATTATCAAAATTATATGAAGTTACAAAATTATATATAATTTAATAAAACTAAAGTATATGAGAATTAAACTATTTATACTTATGCATATATTACATTCTGTATATATTAATTATATAAAATATATAAAAGCAACAATCCAGAAAATGCTATAATATAGGGCCAATTCTTAACCCGATCATTAGAACTTTTTTAAAATTGCAATTAATAATTATGGGAATCTAAATCGTGTAAAAATAATTAACAGATAAATTTCATTAAATTAGATATAACTTTTAAGAAAATAAAATTTTAAATTTATTTATCGACCTGTTTTTTTAATATTTTTTATCCGACCTACACACTTTGTGCTTAAATTAAAATTCAACATTTATGTTATATTTTTTAATATATTCTATATTTCAACTCTCCGATCCTGATGATCTCAGGATCCTCTCCGATCCTGATGATGACTCCCAAGGAAATATGGAATATATTAAAAAATATTAAACAAACGTAGAATTTTAATTTTAATAAAAAGTGACCTATAACCGGATAAAAAATATAAAAAAACCACTTTTAAAAAAATAAAATGAATATTTTACTTCGTTTATCTAAACATAATTAAAATAATCTTCCAGAAGCCCAAGGAAAACCATTGGAGTACTATCCCAGGAAAATCATACAAAGAACACAATCATACAGATGGAACAGCAAAAACAGCGACCTTTCTATAACCGATCAGGGGTGCTAAGAATTTCCAGATTTCATGCAGTTCATGAAATAATACATAAATCACGAAAAATAGAAATATAATACGTTTTCAGTGTTAAATTAAAATAGAATCATCAACATTACTCAATTATAAAGAGTATTAATATTTAGATATTTCTAGGGTTCGTTAAGCAGTTCGGACATGTCTAAATAATATCTTCAGCACATTATTTCTGTTTACATCATAATATTTAAATTTGGTAGCCATCTCCGCTTATTGTGCTATTGTCCTATAAGTATTGTCAGTTCTCTGCGCAAGCTTAAAATCATTTCATAACAACCAACGTAAGATAATTATTTTATTACCTCAAACTACAATATTTATTAACCCATTTTATTATATACATATATATTTACTGATATACATAAAATTATACATAAAATAAGTAAATTATTGTATCAGTTTTTCTTCTATTACTGATAAGACGAATACTATAAATAATCAAAGAATGTTAACTATTTACAATACAAATAATTTATCTAAATATAATTAAATTAAATTTATCACTAAATTTTATTATTATACGAAATTACTAATTAAAACCGCAACCTGAAATTTTTATAGTACAAAAATGAATAATAAAAATTTGTTTATTTTTTTCTATAAAATGAGTTCCTTTTTATTTATATATTTGCGTACAAGACAGAGATTGTTTGATGTAAAGAACTCATTAGGTTTTACTTATAATTTTATATTTGGTTCTAGAAGATAAAATAAAAAACAGTATAACATAGGAAAACAATTGATGCCACTAAGCGAAATAATATGAGGAAAAATAAAGTAAACCAGCGTTAGCAAATATAAATAGTCTTTACAAGCTTAATAGAGTCGGATAATCTGTTTGTTATTTTAACAAATCTAATTCGTAAAATATAGTTTTTAACACAAATAATTTTTACAAAATAATTATATCGATACTTGGCCATAAACGAATTCTACAAACGTGGATAATGTGTTTGGCTAGGTTTACGATCTGTAAAGAAGTTACGCAGCACAATAATTTGTACAATGCCAATTACTAAGACAGCTGCAGTTTCCATAGATGACCACCACATAACACGCTCATTTAACTCTTCAGCACGTTTACGTCCCTGAGCTTCACGTAACCTATGATGAGTCTGTGCATCGAGTATATCATTTAAACTTTTGTGTATCGCTTGTGACGATGTTTCCATCTGTGTAAGTACTGTAGCGTGTTCATCAACACCTGGCAGCGGATGTTCTTCGCCTACTTGAAAATCAACATAGACAAATTTGTGTGCAAATGTTGAGAACTCATTACTAAAACAAGCTGTGTAAACACCACTTGTTTCTGCTACAAACTGATGGCTATCAAACGTGGCACGTTGTTGTGTGTAAATAATGCGATTCTGTGGATCTTTTAATGTCACATCAACATCTAACTGGCCACCAGCTGATACTTGGAATTCCAAATATGCACTTGTATTACGTTTAATCTCTTCATAGAAACAATCCTCCGCACCATCTGCCAGGTCAAATGTGAATTCAACAGCATTTATAAGACGGCAGGTAAGTAATAAGAGGAATGTGAACAGTGTTAATGTATTACTGCAGAATTTTCCGAAACTACAACTTCTTGTTAACATTTTTAATTTAATTTGAATAGGAGGTATATTGGTTAACACGTAAATTCAATTGTACTTTGCTGATGTTGTGATTTTTTTTTGTTGCCACGCAATGTTGGCTAAAAGAAAAATATTAAAAGTGATATTTAATTTAATTATGAATAATTATTTTAATTAAAATATTGTTTTATTGCCGATATATACACACGTACCAAATCACAGTAAAATTTTAATAATTCACTTAATTATTTTTCAATAATTAATTTGTGTGATATTCGTTTTGTTTGCGTTTATAAAATATTTTCGGGTCTGGCTAAAATGTTCTTGAGATTTGACATTACCTTTTACTGAGAACTGACGTGTCGGCCTCATAGGGTTGCATTTAACTTAAATATTTTAATACTTTTTTCAATAAAAAAAATCGTTAATTCAAACTTAAATGATTTGAATGCACTTAGGATGATCTAATTTATTTTTATTAATATTTAAAACCCTTTTAATACTGACATTTTAACACGGTCTTATTAAATGGTTAAATTCATAAATTGTTGCAATGTTTATTAGAATATTGGGGCCTACCAGAAAAAATATCAACCATTTATAAGAACTTTTATTTTAATTTGAAAATATTTATATATTAGAATCCTAAGTTGTACTTTAATAAAAAATAAGCCGAAAAATGTTAAAAAAATAATATTGCAACATTTATTATATATTTAAAGGTCATCAAAAAATTTCCTATTATATTTTTGTTTGTTATATTATATGTTACAATTTTTTTTTTGTGTTATATTCTAGAAGGTCACATATTTCGCGATTTCCAATAATTAAATTTACACCAATTATTTATTTATAAAAACAGGAAGTGAGTTTCTTAATAAAACCTTCAGAACAATTTAAAAAAATCCAGAAAAATGTGCAAACATATAAGTCAAGTACAGCTTTGGGTCAGTTAATTAAGGAGCGTTGACTCTGAGCTTCAAATTTGACAGGGCATGCGTTCGATTCCTGGTACTTGCAGTCTCAAAAAATTATTTAAGAATAATTATATACAAGAATTATTTCCAAGACCACTGATGATGGGTATTTGGCAATACTCTAAGTTGATGTATAATATACCTGTTTACAAATATTTATTAAATTCTATATGGCCATAACTTGTAAGGAATGGTTTTAAAAATTCCTTACATCTTTTTTCTTATAACTTGTTCTAATTATATTACTTGAAATCTCTTTTTATACAATATTTCATAGGATAAGTTTAACTAAATATCGGTTACTGCGAGTAGAAGTATTTGTGAAAGCGTTATAATTTGAAAAAGTAAATAGATAATTCTAAATAATTTTCATTAATTAATGATAGATCAAAGAAAATTGATGTTATAATATTTCTCACTGTTAGAAATTTAAAAAAGCTTATTAAACATTTAAATCTAAATTATTATTGTTTTATAATAAATATAACTTATTCTTTAAAAAAAAATTGAAGTAACACCTCACACATAATAAATTTCTTTCATTCATAAAGGATTGAATGTAAAAATGTAGTCTTTCAACTTTAAGAATATTTCTGTCTAAATACACAACAACATTTATGAATAAATATTTCACAGCTCGTGCGAATGAAAAACATATTAGTGTTTTCAATTTTATTAGCTTTAACAATGTCTACACGATAATAGATAATAATTTATTAACTAAAATTAATTTATTATAATTAACATAACATGATTCAAATGAATGATTAATTAGCAATTTGCCATAAAAACTAGCTAAATTCATGCAATATCATTTTTAGTTATAATGTATTAACTTATGATATAAACAAGATACAATATAAATTAAGTAATAGTGATATTTTCATAATTTACAAATTTTTGGTGTTTATGTTATGCTTTAATAAAAAAATTATTAAAGCTTTCGAATAACTTCTTTGCAAGCTTCCTGCGCGCTTGGGTAATTGTACTTAAAGCCTGTCTGTAATGTGCTTTCAGGCTTAATTTTAGCTCCTGTTAACAGCAACGATGAACGATCCTTACCAAAAATGGTTTCTACGACAAACTCTGGCACAGGACAAAGACAGGGACGGTGCAATGTTGATGCAAATGTCTAGAAAATTAAAACAAAAAATATTGTAAATATGACAAGCAAAAAAACAAAAAAATGAAATAGGTACCTTAGAAAATTCGCCATTTGTTACAATTTCGGGTGCAACACCATTTAAGACATTTTCGCATTTCTCATCTTCAATACTATGTTGAATAAGTCGACATAAATCTTCGATATGTATCCAAGGTAATACTTGCTTTCCTGTTCCTAAAGGACCGCCTAATCCTAATTGAAATGGCAACCAAATTGACTTTATCATGCCTCCTTCTCTTCCTATAACAACACCACTGCGAATTTTTGTCTAAAATTAAAAACATTACTTAATTATTTTTATTCTTTTGCACAAACATACGCCTCGACAGTGTTTTGCTGCTTCGGGTGACAAAGTTGCAGCTTTTTCCCATTCCAAACATAAATGTGACATATAATCAAAACCTTCCACTTTATCATTCTCAGTATAAATTCTTTCAGTTGGTTTGTAGTGACTAACACCCGATATGTTAACGAATGCTTTTACTTCTGGTGAATTGGTAATCGCCTTGGACAGTGCTGCACTTGTATTAACACGCGAATTCCACACATTTTGTTTAAAACCCTCAGTCCATCGTCTGCTTGGATCCAATACATTTTGCCCAGCTAAATTCACCACAGCCGTTGTACCTTTTGGTACACCATTTTTTTCTAAATCATGCCAAGTGATACGCTTTAATCCTGGCATACGCGATATCACCGTCACATTATATCCTTGTTTACCTAAGTGTGCAGAAAGTCGTGAGCCAATAAAACCAGTACCACCACCTGCACAAGACTAAGGTATGAATATTAAATTAAGTTTAAATTTTTATATATTACCAATTAAAACATTTTTTGCCATTTTAATTTACAATTAATTTAGTAAAATTTGCAAAATGCAAGTTTTACGTAAATTATGGCAAACAGCTGTGGTATTGTACATTTAAACAAAAACAATAAATTTTGAAAAGTGGTGTGTTCAGTGTAGATTTTTTGATGCGTGTGTTCACGCCAAAATATTCTCGACAAAAAATTAATGTACGATATAACAAAAATTTATCGATTTAATATAATGTAGTGATTTAAAATTTATAAATTGCATCCATGCTTTCACTAAATAATTTCTTCTATATTAAAGATGTCGCTTTATATATATGGTTGCCCTGATCGTTGCAACGATTTTCATATATTTGAGAACTCCAAATTGAAACAACATTATATGAAACTGATAATTAACGAATTTTGCGCTGAAATAAAAGACGTGTGCGTGCCTTCACACATAATTGCCTTCCGCGGCTCATTGTTGCAAACAATCCTCATTAAAATGCAATCACTAAATATTTGTTCGTCTTTTTTGTAAATATGCCAAAAACAGCTTTCTCAAACTGTCAAAATGCCATGAAAAACGTTTATTTAGAGTATGTTTAATGTATTCATTTACATTTGAAACGTATTTGAAACTCATTTGAAACTTGTTGCAACTCGTTTGTGTAAAATCAGCACATGGAAGTCATTTGTGCATATGAGATTTTGTATGCAGAAGTTTGTGATTTTTAATCGAAATCAGTCATTTAACGCCAGTGTAAACGCTATATTACATATATATTATATATTGATTATTAAATATTTTCCCGACCATACATATGGATTTTTTACGGATTCATTTTTTCTAATCGTAAATACTCAATGAAATAGTTTGTTACACACAGTTTAGAATCACTTTTCATTTTAGAATCACCATATAGTATAAATATTTTTAATATATTCCATGTATTATATAAAATAATAATATATTCGAATAAATTAGCGTTTTTCTCTGTATGGCAACTCTTTGTATTTAGTTACGAAATGTCAAAATAATAACTTATGGCGTATTATTAACAAAGTTTTGCGATATTGAAAGCGATATTAATTTCAAGTTTTTAAAAATACATAAAGATGACTGCACCACTTGAAAATTTAGAAACTCAAATAGAAATGTTCATTGAAAATGTTCGTCAAATACGTATAATTGTTAGTGACTTCCAACCACAAGGACAAAATGTTTTGAATCAAAAAATGTAGGCAACAAATTTCTTATGGTAACCATTTTAATAATATTAATGTTTATTTTTTTCTTTAATTATAGTCAAGGATTAGTTACCGGTTTACAAGAAATTGATAAACTGAGACACCAGGTCCAAGATGTATTTGTACCGTTCGATGTGTTTGATTACATTGACTCCGATAAAAATCCACAGTTGTACACAAAAGACTGCGTTGAAAAGGCTTTGGCCAAGAATGAAGAAGTAAAGGGTAAAATTGATGCTTATCGAAAGTTCAAGGCAAATCTTTTACTTGAGTTGTTTAAAACGTTTCCTAATGAAATGGACATGTATCAAGCTTATCGTCCAAATTCTACTTAAAAATCGTATTTAATTTAGAGATTTTTGATATGGAAAGTAATTAATTATATTTAAGTAATGCTAATAAAAAAAGATCTGTAATTATAATAATTTATGACTTTGCACTTATAACAAATTAGTAGTATGGTTGTTTTTAAGACGTTACTATTATCTGGTTTGTCACTACATTTTTTGGAAATTGTGCTGACTTTGTCAAGATATCGTCTTGAAGTATATTTATAATTTAATTTTTCTTAGTGTTACTATTATTATTAATAAAACAAAAAGTCTGATTATTAGAAACTGGGTCAATAATTCGTGCCTTGGGAAGTTAGTTTGATTCCCGTTTTTTACATATGGTGAAACTCGTCGTATATATTTTTACTGGTAAGAGGTGTAAATTATAAATTGTTTCGATACATGGATGGTTCTTGAAATCTACATTTGAACTTACAAACATGTAACACAACTTTTGAATGTTATTAATGATTATTATTATTTTACACTACTATACTGTATTATTTTAAAATCATATTGTTTAACTAATATTTATGTTAATAACTTGCTTGGTCTATGTGTAGCAAGAGTTTATCTTAGTATAACAATGGACCATTAATTGTGTTTAAGTAAGCTTGGGTGTACATATTGCGACAGCTCCTTAACCTAAGGTTCTGGTTGTCAAATTCTTATTAGACTTGCGATTATCAACAGTACTGTTTTTATAATTACAATAACTAACATACTTTTTGAATTATTAATAAACATATATTTCAAAGACTCTCTTCCGTGTAAGTGATTGACTTCAGGATAAAGATAACGTTTGAATAAATATATTGCTATACTGAAGTTACTGTAAGTATTCCAGTATTCACAGCTTGAACACAATTATGAATATTTATAATTAATTATTTATTCATAATTAATGAATTATGAATATCTTGAATATTAGAAATGCACTATCAATAAATAATTTAAGCTGCTAACTCAGATAGAGGATTCCTTAGTTAAAAATATAAGTTAATTTTTATTTGTGACTAATCGTGATTTTAGTTTTTGAATACTTAATGATATTTTGTGCAGAGTTTAATGTAAATCCTTGTCGATTACTTATTTTTAATCACTTTCATAGACATAATAATTATATATTGGTTTACTGTATCACAAAGCTTACTTAATAATTTGCATTCATGTTAATATATTAAATTTCTAAATCAATTAAAGCTTGTAAATAATTTATAGAACGAACAGAGAATATGTCCAGTAGTTAATTGTAAAAGTTCGGAATTACCACACAATCTTTACTAAGTAAAACTTACCCAAATAAAACTAATGCAATCGGGGTTTTCATGTAATTAGTTTTACTGACATCCTAATCAATATGAAAACATTACTGGCACAAGATAAACTTTTAAACGTAAACGGTGATAATTTTTTTTTGTTGCAATTTGCTATAAAAATTTTTAAAATGGTTGGTATCATATTTTGATGCCGTTTTCACTTTATATCCACTAATATAAACCATATATAATATAAACTGCTTCTATATTCTTAGTGATAATATATACATTATAATAATATATTCTAGGTTTAATATATATAGCAGATCTAATATGTTATCAGATTCCATTCCACATTTTTCTAATAATTTTAAAGGAAACTACAAAATTTTAAGTTTTTGTTTTAACATTTATTATATTAAATGGATTTATTTTATTTTTTTCAATGCTTAATGATATTAAAAACACTCTTCGAGTATACAATCTTAAAATCAAAACTAAGTTTTGTAAAAATAAAACCTGCTATGATGTTCGTTAGACAATTATAAAAAAAAATTAAAACAAAAACAGTTGTAATACTTAGGCATATAAAATTCTGACTGAAGTATTACATTTATGAAATAAGTGAACTCCTTATTTAGGAGTAATATTTGCAATGCTCAATTTTTAATATATCGAACATTTTTATTCAAACATTTAAGTTAAATAAACAGACAATTATTGGTAATTAACAATTGAAATACATTTTAAAACGTTGCATTTTATTATACGATCTATTAATATTACTTGCTATTTTTCAATAAATTATATTAAAAATCTATACTTCAATATATACTTTTTAGTTTATTATACTTTTTTTTTGATATCTTATCATTAAATTTTATATGATCTTTTTTTATAATTTAAACACTTATGTTTAATAATATTAACAAAGAAATTTTTAATTTACTAAAACTAAATTCAACCCCAATTGAGACCCAATTAATACCGCCACTTTGGCCCCAACCTGTGGCTATCGGCTGGTAATGTTCCTGAAGTTTTTATTGTTCACGTGCTTCTGGTGGTCATTTACCAACACAGCAGCCATTCAAGGCTAAATGCTTTTGCAATGCAGGTGGTAGAAAATCTTTCGTTTTGGAACGATTTCCTTGTCCAATCAACGCTGGTTCAATAAGCGTACCTTCTTGAATTTCCTGTATTTTTTTAAGCAAATCATAATTGATGCTGTCACTCACAATTGAATCTTTTCTGTAAAAATAAAAAAAATTAGTATATCTATTTAGTAGTCTATTAAAAAAAAAAATATAAATATAAAGCAGGTTATAAATTAATATTGCTTACTTGTAATCTGGATGCTGCAAGACCTTTGTTCTGATCCAAGTTGCTGTGGTTACAAATTCTCCAGAAGCACGTTTTTGTATGAAACGTAAATATTGTTCGATGGTGCAGTGAGTGTCGGTATCAACTTCCATGGACTGCAAATAACTGCGAATAAGTGGCACTAGACCCGGGAAAGTATTGGGCTAAAATATTAATTAAAAAACAATATATAAATATTTGTTTAATATTTGTGAAGTGATGTTAAAAAGCTTACCTTGCCATTAAAAATTTCTCCTATAGTCATAAGTTCATAGTTTTCATCGTAGCCGTTAACACCATTCTCTTTGGTGCCGTTAACAGTACCATTAAGTTCGGGTGCTCGTGCACGATGATGTGCTTTACGGAACCAAAATTTCTCTTTACGGCAAGCATCACGTTTTTGTGCTGTTTGCATATTTTCATCAACCTAAAAATTATTTATTTAAAAAAATATATCATTTTGGCATTGTTCCAAATATCGAAAAATCGTCTAAAAAATACTCACTTTACTTATGGGTATGAGGAAATTTAGTTGATACGATAAAATCACTCTTGTCAATAATACAACAAAACATACAAATGCAGCATTTTCAAAATCACTAATTTGTGCCTCACATGGCCTGAACTCCACACGCCAGCCGATCGATGAATTCGGTGGTGGTGGCTTAAAACGCATCGTTTGCCAGTTTGTGGACTGTATGTTTTCAAAATGATCTGTATCTTCTTCATCATTCTGATGTACTTTCTCGCTGAATAATGAAACTGTATCACGTATGAAAAGATGTGCCACATGTTGCGCAAGTAAATCATCAATTCCACCATCTCTCAAGCGTTTATACACTTTCTCATCATAGGTCAGTGGAACATCATTATATTTTCCTCCCTCCGTTGAAAGATATGAATCAATTGAGTCATAACGTGATTTCGCTATACGGAATTTATTTTCACGCAATGGTTTTAGACCACGTTCTTCTTCAGTACGGCAATCTACTGATGAACTGATAACGTTCCAACGGCAGTCCGATTCAGTTAGATAACCTCTGTATATTGGTGAGGCAGCTGTTAAAGCTAACATTATTGGACAGAGTGGCGCTAACTGATCGTACAATGTACGCGCCTCAGTAATATTACAAGCCTGGAATGTTAATTGTAGGCAACAACAACCCATACCAAAGCCCATGGCATCTAATAATACAACGTCTGGCTCATTCTTTGGTGCGCCAAGCACAGGAATTTTGGTATTCTCGTCATTAAATACTGAAATTAGAAAAAAAAATGACATTAGGAAATTTTTAGTTATAAATAATTAATGGGTTAAAAAATGAAGTCTAAAATTATATCGGATTTACTAGCTAGAAAAATAGAATTTATAGATAATTTAACTCTTCTTTCTAATTGGTGTATATTGAAGCGTAGTCTACTTCTCGGGTTGATATGAAATTGCTACAATATTTGTTTTTTAATTTAGATTATATCAATAGATTGGCAACACTCCTCATTTAACGCTACGACGCCTTGTTCACTTTTACTTTTCGAATAAATCATTATAGGATAAGTAATAAGTTTAGGGTAACATATTACAGAAACTGATGAAAGGACTTTCCAACAGTTAATTGTCCAGAACAACCAATTATAGGTTTCAAGAACGACCGGGTCTACGTCACGGAGCCCTCGTCTAGTTCGACTGCTAAGTGTCGTTTAGCATACTTAAAGGGTCTACACAAGCAGATTCTTGTGAGCTACAACAACAACTAATTATCGTTTACTACTTCTGTTAAAGGATTGCATGACACGAATCAAACTTATAGCAATAAAGCCAAAATAATTTTATAAAAGAATGGCTTTTTTTTGTGTATCATTATTTCAATGATAAGGACCGACTCATTGTAATAAATTATCTAAGATAGATATTAAGTTTGAAATGAATTTATAGAACAATGATTTATTATGTATATCATTATTTTAATGGTAAGGATCGACGCACTATGTGAGATTGATATGTAATTGAGTGGCGTGTTAAATCAGAATTATTTATTTAAATAGAAGTTTAGAAAAAGGGGCTATAAAACTAATCTAACTTCCATATCTAAAACATTAACAATATATTGACGAAACAAATTTTTAATTTATTATGTATTAGAGAAATGAAATGAATCACTGAGATTATATCATTTATAATCTACTACCATCTACTACTACACTTACCTTTAAGTTTTATAGCCACTTTCTCACCACGCCTTTGTCTTATATTACGAGTGAGCGTTTTAAATCGTGGATGTCCTGGAAAGATAGCCTCATCTGGAAAATAAAGTGATTTTGCTGCACTTTTTGGATCATCTGGTTTAGGATAATATATGGGATAAGTAAATTCTGGTGCACCCAAACGTGGGAAATTCGTTATAGACATAACGCATTCATCTTTATCCAATAATTGTGTTACTTCTTGTCGTCTGTATCGCATATTTGCTTCGACTAAATTTAAATTTGCCATTAAACCACCGAATGGTTTTCCTGGTGTACCTTCTATCATATAAGCCCCATATTCTGGCCGCCATAGTGATTTGACACCATGTGGATCGGCTATTTCTTTTTCATTTAATTTTGCTAGTAAATCTTGGGCTTTTAACGATACTCGCGCTACTCTGTTTTCATCATCAAATTTTACGATTATATATTCGACTTCATCGCCCCATTTAAGAATATCACCTTGGCGATCTTTCAATCTGTGATAGAGATTTATGAATTGATTAATACCATGTTCGCGTACATGTTCTGCTAATTTTTTTGTTTCTTCCCATGAAAGTGGACTACCCTCGCTTAAAAGACCCATTTCTGTAAATAGAAAAAATTTAAATTAATATTTATGTATTAGTTAGTTAAAGAACATATAAAAAATCACCCTGTAATTAATTATAAAAAATAAGAAATTAAAGTCATTTGATATTTTTAATAAATTGCAATGCGCATTTTATCTTTAAACTACATATTTAATAACTTTTTTTTTTCATTTTAAAAATGGAATGCTGAAATTCCTCTATCATTTCTATAATAAATATGATCTATTTTGAATTAAAAGCTTAATTGCCTTAATAGGAAAAGTTGTAAATGAACAATAATTGATGCAAATTCTGGAATGCATTTTGCATATCGTTTTAAATTTTAATTACTCGTATTCAGTAAAATTTTAGTAATTACGTTCTTCTTCTTTTGAAAACAGACTTTTAGTATTAATTAAAAATAAATAAAAAAGTTATTAAAAAAAAATAAATAAAAAAGTTATTAAAAAAAAATAAATAAAAAAGATCTTATAAAAAAAATAAATAAAAAAATTATTATACACAAATAGGCTGATCCAAGATATATATTATTGCTGCAACTATTATGTCTCTAAGTTCCTACTATTCCGATCAAAATAGGCAAAAAGTAACCCTAGATACAGTTTTGGTAGCTAGGGTCAGGTAAATTAAAGAAGGTCTCTATTTGTAATTTTTTTAGAATAAAAAGTAAAATAAAAAATGGGTAAAAAACATACCAGAGAATGGTTGAGATTAATTTGCTGAAAGTTTTGTACCTGGAAGTATTTGAATTGGGAACTCAACATTTTTATTCCGGAATTTTGTTTAAAAGTCCACTGATTAATTAAAAATTAATATCAATAAATTTAAAAAAAAATATTTTTCTAAATATATAAAACTGATTTCATCACAGTGTTTCGTTTTTAAAAGAATAATTTGATATTCTTAAGATAAAAATAGAAGTGATTAATAATATAATATAAGATATATTTAGAGAAAAGATTCAAGTGATCTGAAAACAATACAGTCTTTTAAGTAGTATAATAATTTTGAATTAATTTTATTATTTAGAAAAATAATAGCAATTGAGTAAAAACTCCATTAAAGATACAGTATGATATACTTATAATATAGTGCAGTCGAAGATATAGTACATGAGTAATATACTTCTGTTATCATACTACTGCATAAAACTTCTTTGTATGATAAATTGCAAGATATAAGATACTATATTATGTTGTAATAAAATATATAAATAAAATAAAAGTTAAATTAAAAAGGAATATTCCTTATTATAGGAATAATAAGGAATAGTCTGAAGACTAGCACTCTACTGAGAAAGAGAAGAATCATAACTCTTAGATATGAAAATGACAATATTTGTTATAATTAAAAAAGGTCAAAAAAGGATTCAACGGTTCTGGTCATGATATAAAATATATAAAAGAATTTTGTTGTAACGAGAGATTATCATTTCTCTATTAAAAACGAAAATAGTCCGCTTCCCCCACTGATAAAAGATTGGATGTTTCTATAATTATGCTTATAGCACTTGTCAAGTACATGGTTTCCATTATTTCTGCTTTTTTTTTAATTGCATATGTGTTTAGAATCAGGAATTGACGTGTGAAGCTGCTACAGGGACTACAGACTAATAGCACAGAGCTATCTGATCTTTATTAATCTTACAAAGGGAATCAAGATATCAAATTTATATGAGTAGCTGATATGCGATATTGAAGTGTTGCAGTTTCTGAACTAATATATATATAGATGGAGTTACAGGGACTTATATATATTAGTTCAGAAACTGCAACACTTCAATACCGCATATCAGCTACTCACATAAATTGGATATCTTGATTCCCTTTGTAAGATTAATAAAGGTCAGAAGCTCTGTGCTATTAGTCTGTAGTCCCTGTTAGTGTTAGTGTCATTTTTTTTTTGTAATTTTTAGTAATAAATTGAGTAAAATAGTTATTTAGGAAAAATAGTTTATTCAATAGAATACTTGTGATTAATTGCAATAATGTTAAAAACATTTAAATATAAATGTTTCTTAGAGCAAATTCTAAAAATGTTCTTTAGAAAAAGAGCTACTCTCCCAAAAAACAAAATATTTTTGTATACATATAGAATACAAAGCAAACTTAGCATAATTTTTACTTATGGTATTTTTAAAATAATTTATTTAAAATTTTTAGCATATATTGAAAAATTATTTTATATTTTAAAAACGCAAAATGTATTTTTATAATGTATAATATATAAAAATAATTTTTATTTTTTCTTAAATAAAAAAAATAAATATCGCAAAAAAATGTAAATGAATACAATACAAAAAAATATCAATAATAAATCACATAAAATAAAAAAAAATTATTTGATATTTTGTATTATAAAAATAATCAAATTAAATAAAAATAAAAAATTATTTAATTTACTATAAAGTGATAATTAATCAAGCAATCAATATTTAAAGTCGCATTAAATTTAAAAACTTAGAAATGACCTACACTTATGTGACTTTATTAAGGGCTTTAAGCAGAAATACAAGCTAGCTCTTCTTTTTTTCTGGAAATCTATTAATTTTACATTTAAAAATGTTAATTAATATTATTATCAGTATATGAAATTTTTTATTTTTATTTTTATTTCTGTATGGAATTTTTCTGTGAGCTTAGATGCAATTAATAATAAAACATCTTTAAAAATTGAAAAAAAAATCACAGTTAATTATAGCTGATAGATTATACCATGTACTGCAATACTATATAAATTGTTTGCTTTGCTTTGTAATGGAATTGATTTATTTTGAGTTTTGAGAAAATATATTATATATAATATTACATATTACTCACAAGATAATCCAATATACGTTTTAAATTAAACTTTCTCTATTTTACAAAGAATTAGGTGTATTGAGTACTTCTAGAGGCAACATACTTAGATAATCGAAGTAAATCAGGGATTAACCAAAGATTGTATCTTATTTTTGAAGACAATAATTAAGGGAAAATTGGTAATGATTAGTACTCGTAGTTCAACAAATTCATATATATGTAAAGATCTACTGTACTTGATCGTATTTGTAACTTTATAGTAAATAATTCTAGATTAACCTGATTGGTTTGTTACTTAGCAAAATGCGAACTTTTGGTTTGAAGGGCAACCGAGTGGTGATAGGTGATTTTTAGCTATAAACATTGTCCTTTCTCTAACTGATTCCATTGTTAGATATAACGTTATGCAAAAGCATTTGATATTAAAAATATGTTGAAAACTAAAGCGAAGTTGAGATTTTTCCACGTGCAGCAAGAACTGTCCTTGCTCAATTGAGATTAGGATATAGCCGAGTGCTAAACAGTTACTTGTCTCGCATAAATACGTCCATCCACAATGTGTGCCCTAACTGCACCTCTTCTCCCCATGACGTCGCCTATCTGTTTTAATGTCCTTCTGCACACACAAACCTTCGACCAATTAACCTTTGGACTCACCCCATTGAAGTGGCCTGGTTTCTCCGCCTGGATCCAGAATGACGGTTTATACACACCTCTAACTTTCTTCCCACTTCCCTACTCATGTATTCGTCTTGTGTTTCCTTTCATGTTTATCTGTTTACAGGTCCCGGCGGGTTACAACAACAACTCTGCACTCCCAAGAGATTTATAAATGTCACCAAAATGCCAAATGCTATTACCTTTGGAGTTTTACTGGCTTTTCTTTCCTTGCTTTAGGTCTTATAATAATATTAAACTAATTCGCGTACTGATAAAATTCTTTTCAACTTGGAATAATTATGGAACTTGAGTTTTACTAGCTTTTCGTTCCTTGCTTAAGGTCTTATAATAGTATTGAACTAATTCTCGTACTGATGAAATTCTTTTCCGACTGAAAGAATTCATCTTTCTTGGTAAGAATTCATTGACAAAAACTCGTTCTCGCAAATTTTAATTTAAATACAAATAAAGTACCTTAAAGATCTTGCTATGTCTACATTGTGACCGAAAAGCTTCCGGAAATTTTAAATAAAACGCAAAATTCTTAATCTTCATCAATATTTATTTTATCTCCTTCAAAATATGCTCCATTAGAAGCGATAAAACAATGCCAACGTTTCTTCAATCATCAAAAACATTTTTTATAGGCGCTTTCCGGTATGGCTTTGAGTTCCCTCTGCGAATTCTGTTTTACGTCTTCTATGGATTCAAAACGCGTTCCTCTGAGTGGTAATTTGAGGTTGGGAAACAGGAAAAAGTCACACGGTGCAAGATCAGGTGAATACGGTGGCTGTTCGATGGTATTTATTGAATGTTTGGCCTTAAAATCGTTGATAATGTTGAACAAATTGAGGTGAATCGGAACAAGCCGGGCGTTGACACGTCGCATACACAAATTGTCCACCAAAATCAAACGAGCCATCTCACGACCGATGCCTAGCTCTCGTGCTATCTCTCTAACACTCACATGAGGATTTTTGAACACGATTTCCTTTGCCTTTTCAATGTTTTCGTCGGTGGTAGAGGTCGAAGGTCGTCCAGAACGCGGCATGTCTTCGACGGTCGTACGACAGTCCTGAAAGGCTTTGTACCACTCATAAACTTGAGTTTTCGATAAAACTGATTCCCCATAAGCCTTTTGTAGCATTCGCAACGATTCTGCACACGAAATTTCGTTCGAAAAACAAAATTTGATGCAAACTCTTTGTTCAATATTTTTTTCCATTGTTTTTTTCGCAACGCACTACTGAGGTGAACTGGTTTCAACAGCTGCCGTAAACGAACTGTCTGACAGATCGCGCTCATTTTTGGCATAGTAATTAAGGACAGTGCTGCCAAACTACATAAACTTAAAATATCGAAAAATATACAGCGCGCGAATTTTAAATGAGAACCTCCGAAAACTTTTCGGTCACAATGTACATTAATTAAATATACTCTCAAGTCATTGTTTGTCAACAAACTATAGATACGAATTTCGTGATATTGGAAAAAAATAAAATAAATTTTTATTTTATAAAAAAATTCTTTGAAA